GGAGCACTTTACAATTCTCAGTGTTGAATAGCATTTGGTTCTGGTCCTCCCATCTAACTAATCTGTCTAGGTCTTCCTGGATCATCAGCCTACCCCAAGGCACGGCTGCACTTCCCCACAGCTTAGTGTCATCAGCAAACTTTGCTAGCATGCTTTTGAGCCCCACATCCAGATCATTGATGAAGTTGTTGAAAAGCACCAATCCAAGTACAGAACCCTGGGGGACCCCACTGGCTACCATCCGCCAGGTCGACACAGATCCATCTATTAATATTCTCTGCGTCCGACCCTACAGCCAGTTTCCCACCCATTTGACCATTGAATTTTTGAGCCCAGAGTCCCCTAATTTTATCTTGAGAGCCTCATGGGACACCAGATCAAAGGCCTTCCTAAAGTCCAAGTAAATGATGTTGACCTCATCATTTTAATCCTCATCCTTACACTCTGAGATGAGGGATTGTGGGCCAGGCCCCTAGGCTAGGTACAGAGATTCAAAAAGCCTGAGCCAGAATCCATCTATGTTACACAGTTTTCTGTAAGCAGCGTAGTTTAGATTGGTAGCAAACAGAATACACGTTCATCCTTTGGTGAGGGGGTATGCAGGCTGCAAGCACTCATGTGCATTCTTGCATGCCACCCAGCATGCCCCATGGGCTCCCCAAGCTGCTGGAGACGGCCAAGCCCCTGGACCCTCCCTGACTGGCTGCTGGGCACAGGCAACCATAAAGCGAAAACAACCCCCTACTGCATCATCTATGAGCCACTGGCATCTGTCAGCCACAGACAAGCAGTGGGAATGGGAAGGAAGGCATCTGTTTTTCTGTGTATGAGCCCCAGCACCTGGGCACCCATATCTCTAAGCCATACCCCTGCAGCCCATCATGAAGGACCCCACAATGTACACACAGTCCTGACACAAAGCCCAGGAAACCCCCATGCTCAGGCACAGCCCATGGAGCCTGACCAGGCGGCTGGGCTCAGGCAAGTACCTGTCCTCCTGCTGCCTGCCTGTGGCTGACAGATGATGCAGCAGTGGGAGGAGGCATGCTCACCTGTGCCCGGCAACCTGGTAGGGCTCTATGGGCCTGCACCTGAGCACAGGGGCTCTCCTGGGCTCTGTGTCAGGTGCACATGTACACCGTGCGAAGCTTCATGACGGAGCACAGGAACATGGCTCAGGGACGCAAGTGCCCAGGTACTGGGGTTCATGCATAGGAAAATAGATGCCACCCTTCCCCATTCCTGCTGCCTGCCTGTGGCTGACAGCTGGCCAGAGGTAGGAGGCAGAACTGTGGAAAGTGTCTGTGCTGACTTGGCTCTATGACAGCTTGGGGGTAGAGCACACTGGGCGCTCAGATGGAGCAGCTGAGAGCAGGGCAAGTGCTAGTGCCACTCCTTATGAGAGGGGTCCATACAGGGGCCTGGCATGCTGGTGGACAGTGAACTAACTAGAATCAATAAGGGAGCTGGTACTGAAGTTAGATCCACCTGTCTAATCTAATTCAATTAAGTCTGAGTGCACCTTGATCGAGGTCTTTCTTAGACCAGGTTATACCATTTTTAGACCAGCCTGTATGTACTGAATTTCTGTTCTGTTATGGGCGTAGACCATTTTCTAATCACTTAGACCGGGAAAAGTGTAATTAATATCTGTACATGGCCCAAGAAAGTATTTTCACTTCATGTCAAAAAGAGCACCCAGGAAATTGCTAGTCAGAGAACAATTTCTCCAAAGCCTGCTGCACAGAAGCAAAATCATTTGATCACTGGCTTTTATCCAATATGTTCTGAAGCCATAATTTCTTTTCCTGTGAGCCAAAGGACAAAAATAAGAGGATGTCGCTACATTAATCAACTGCAAGAGACAGTGATGACAACAAAGGCCAATCTCCAACCAAACAAGCCTCCTACAGCCTCAGACAGAAGGAGAAGCTTTAAAACCTTTTTGTATTTCAACTGAGATGCAACAATCTTGGTTAGATGTTCTTTGCAATTTGCTGGGCTCCCTCACTGTGCTCAGAGGACTGGCTTTCAGATGTGAATCCCCTCTGACTGGTTTGCTTCCAAGCATTTTCTTTACAGAATGAAGTGACAGACAAGAGACTTTGTCTTTCTTTTGAGGAAATCTTTGCTGTTAAATTGCTTCATTACCATAGAAAAATTACATCCTGTGAAGTCTTCACTCTGCATTTCTCAAAACATTTCACCAACAAAAATGCTCATCTGCTGTGTTTGTTGCATCCACAGTGACCTTTCATATAGGAACAAAACACCTTTAGGAGTGATTTAGTTGAGTCTTACCTGATACTGCAAACAAACTGAGCCACTGGGACAACATTTCAGAGCTATGTCCCTAGAACAGAAATTTATTTCACAAATGATGGATTCCTTTTATTTGTTGAAAGCGATGGCTGCCTGCTGTAGATAATAGCACAATTTGGAATTCATGAGGTACTTACTTCTACAAAGAAGTGCAGTAATTACCATTCAGCGGAACTATTTGTTAAAGCTATAAATCAGATGAGCAAATGAATAGGAACAGAATATTTCTCTGAAAATCTAGCCTTGGACTTTGCAAGGACTCTTGCCTCTACACATATTGGAGAAATGTAAGAGTTTTTTTATTTAATAAAGAAGACATTCTATAAAGACATTAAGCCACTGCCAGTGTGTGCAGCCGACTGGGAAATGAAAACTTTATAATGCTAGAGCACAAGATTTATAGAAAGAATGTGCCTATTAATGTCAATGGGATGTAGTAAACTGCACAAATTAAATATGAGGATAAATAGCACAGAACTAAATAAATCTGTCTCTGCGTATTGATTGAATGCCTTTTCATGAGCTGTAATTGTGTTGGTAACAGTTTAATTCATCATTAATTTTGCAATGATTTGCACAGAGGACACGGTCACGAGGGTTGCTTTAGCTGGGGATGAATTCTGACCTACTAGTTCAAAGGAATGTAAAGGAGAAGGAATAAGCAAAGCCCTTCCTCTTACAGGAATTGAAAATGTGGGAATCCCTTCAGGGAATGTGGCCTCTGCTCTCTCCTAATGCCTCTGCAGAAAAAGGGTATCTGAAAAGTGGTGTGCCAAGGGCTCCATGCACAAACCAGCAGAGTTTTGGCTATGCTGTGCCCTCTTTCAGAGCCGTGTACACCCATAAGAGTTTTAATTGAGCTGCATATCTTCCCACGATTCCCACCTCCTACCTGGTCCTTCTACTGGCTATCTATCAGTCCTAATGTGTCTACAGAACCGTATTGTCCTCAGTAGTAGCATGCTGCCCCTACACAGGGATCTATTCTCAACAGTAAAACCACATATCCCTTCTTGGCATCTGATGAATTGAATGCCTGCTTACAAAAGCTTATGCATCTCTGAGTTAGTTTTAGAGATGTCGTTAGCCATGCTATTCTCAAGTCAAGCAGAAGGCAGGGTGGTTTAGCACTTATAGACTATGCGCTGTCATTAGTAAGGGGTGAACATTTGAAGGTTAGAAGTCTGGGCTGGGTTTGGAGAAGAGCCTGTTCATTTCATGTTCCTAACTGAACTATCCAGACTGCAAGGCTTAGGGAAAATTGAGGTGACAGTAGTTAAAAAATGGCTTTACGTGCTTACCTGAAAGACAATGCAACAAAACATCTGTACAAGAGGCGGCTCTGAGCCATGGATATGGATCTGAACATCTCCAAAGTGCAGGGATTTTTGGATCTAGTTTTTTGTTTGTCCTTTTACAGATGGGGACACAGCTGTGAAATTTCATCCTTTCACATTTTTTCATTCATGTTAAAAATATGCTTTCCCTTTAACCCCCACCTCTGCCTTTCCCTATCTTTAAAGCTGTTGCCTTTACTGATTTGATCTTTCTCCCTTTTTTTTTTTGGGGGGGGGGGGGGGGG